AAAAAAAGAGTATATGAATTCAAATCCCTTCTTTACCAGTTATTGTGACAATTAAAAGAGAGGGTACATATGAGATGCTCTGCTCCACACTTGGGACAAAGTATTACCATTATCATGTGTTCACAGCAGGACTAACTTTTGCTTAGTATCTTTTAATTATTATAATAAATATAAAAGAGTTTTCTATTTGAATAATAATTTCATCATCTCTTTTTTTCCCCCACAAACCAAAGGGTTCAAATGAACCTTGATATGCCTTCATGGCTACAATATTAATTCTGATCTTATGGGTGCAAATTTAGATGAAGTTAGGTCAATTCAGGCCACACAGGTCTGAGATTAACTATGGTCCAGAAGCCCTAAAAGATAAGGGGCAAGGGAAAGAGTATGAAAAGGGCTTGATCTCAGCTTTCAATAAAACCTAGAGGACAGCAGTCCTGGTGAGTGGGGCACCTCTGGACCACCTCCCCAAAACCAAAACCGCTACTATCTAGTCGGTTTCAGCTCATTACGACCCTGTATAGGAGTGCTAAGGCTTCTTCCATGGAGAGTTCAAATAAATTTATTTATGTATATTTCATTTTCTTTACCAGCTTCTTCTGTTGTTTTGTTTTTTAAATCTTTCTACAGAAACCCTATACAGGGTAACTATCAATCAGAACAACAACAACTCAAAAAAGTGTTTGTTAAATGACTTAATAGTAATTCTCTCAGCCACCTGGACTTGTTCATAGCCATATTTATTCCACTTGTGTCTGTGTTTGGAAAGCAGAGTGTATAATTTTTTTCTTTTTCTTTTCAAGTTTACCAGTAAATCAGAAGCTTTACTACTGAAAATCCGTGGAGTCATCAACCAGTTGGCATTTGGCAGTGACAAAAAGTAATGTTAAATATATTTCTAAGTATCTTTTTATGTTTTGCTAGTATGCCCTATCCTTCTTGGTCATCTTTTGTCCTTGAATGTCAAAGTGCCTTAGATGGCTGCTATTAGAGAACTAATGTCATATTATTTCCTACATCATTTATTATTTATTCTCAAATGTTATAACTGAAATGCTATGTAATAGGACCTTTGAGGCCAACATGAAATAATACTGTTAGACTTTACTTCTCCTCCTCCCATCTCCTCCATTTCAGTTCTCCTTCTATTGTCGCTTTCTTATATTGACTTGAGATGGAATTGATCATTTTAATCAGGATCTAAGTCTTTCTACTTCTCTTAGTTTTGTTCTAAGGTAATTCAGGTCTGTCACTTTAATTTCTAGAAAAGTTTTATCCATGCTATTCTTTAATTTTTGAAGTCACTTAAATTGATATTCAGTCATTCATTGAGGCAGTACTCTTACCAGTGACTGGGTATAAAATTTTGCTCCACATTTACAGTAGTGTGTGACAGAATAATCAATCGCTAAACTAAACTAGATTCTTTTTTCTTCTTATCCATGTAGCAAATCAATATGTGTGGATCAGAATAAACCACTGTTTATCGCAGCAGGATTGGATTCTTTAAGTCAAATAGGTTGGTGAACTTATTAAGGTTGTTCAATTTGTTTTTAATTGCTTATTGATTTTATCCTAGTCCATGTTCACTTGGTTTCCAACAGACCACCATTTCTAGTTGCATTATGGTTGCTGTTATTTCATATGTATTTATGTTGTACACACAATATCAATATAACATACATCCTTGAATATGTATTTATGATGGAAGGATTCTCACCACTTAAGAGACGGATTTCTACATGAACCCTGGATATCCACAGACAAATGTAAAAACCTTCCCTAAAAGCCGAGACTGTAAATTCCAAAAAAGCAAGTTCCCCCCCCAACCCCCCCCCCAGGGGGAGCTAGGAAGGATAGAGAGAAACAC